TCTCTTATCGATTCTCATTGGGTGAGGGAATAAGTACAAATTTGTTTGTTTGTATTAACTCGCTTTAATAGGCTATTTGATCAGAAGACACAGCACAGAGCATAGGGGTGTGAACCTTCACGGTTTGGTTCGATTACGATTATCATGTCATCGATTCAGTTCAATTCAATATCTCGATGCATTACGATGCACTGCATCCTCAATTTTCAATTTTACTTCAAAAAGTGATGTGTGTGTGTGCGCGCGCGTGCGTGTTCGCCTGTTCGGGAAGTCGCAGTGACAGAAACAGTGACATTCCAGTTTAAGTTTCATGGGACTAAAGTCTGTTTATGCCATTAAGAAAATGAAATTCTGTCAAATCAATTTTGTTTTAAAGAAATGTTCATTTAAAAGCAGCGCTCATTCTGTTACCCCGGAGATGCGCGCAACCGTTGCCGAGTCCGCTGTTGAAGACGATCATCCATTTATAATCACACGTAACAACACAGAATAATTGTAATTTGACCATCGGGTGTGGATACTTAAATCAGAGAACATTATTAGGGCGGGTGGATGATGTTTTTGGCTTTGGATTCGGGTGACGCTGGAGCTCATCTTACTTTAAAGCAGTCAGACTCTGCAGGCGTTAACAGCTCGGGTGAACACGGCTAACGTGGTTTATCAAGTTAGTGGTATTACCTCCTGCATATTCTATTTGTGCGTGACATGAGCGCACACAGCGCGTGTCTTCTCCAGGTCGTGTAGACTTTTAAAGTAGTTGGAGCATTTTTTATTACTCACACTCGCGTCAAATGAATTGCATGCTGTGTGGCCAAATGTTTCTGCATATTGGAGGTAGTTCCCCCCTTTGACGAAATGGGAATTTTACAAGTGTTGCAATTGACCGTATTGTTATGAGGCGCCGTCATACTCTCATTGAGTATGTGCGCGAGTTTGTGTGTGTATGTGCTTGCGTCTCATATGAGTAGGTGCCTGGAGAGTTCTGCGCATCTCGTGTGTGTAGAGTTTGCGGGTGCGTGAGTGACTTTAGGTGTGTCATTGTGCATTTCATATGTATTTGTTTTAGCATTCAGCAGTATACATGTATGTTTGACTACTTATATGTATGCAAGTGTTTCATATATGTGTGCGTGAATGAAGTTTTAATCGAAATTTTTAATCCACGCTTTGAACGGAATCTGCGGTTCTCCCTAGGGATGGGAACCGAGAACCGGTTCTTGCTTCAGAACCGGTGCCCAGTGAACCAATTCCTTGGAACCGTTAGCATGCCTGCTTAACGAGTCCGCTTATCGGTTCCGCTCGTTGCAAATGTGTCATGACGTCACACACGCATTGTTTTGGTTCAGAAGGCAGCAAACATGGCATCGCGTGTGTGACGTCATGACACATTTGCAACGAGCGGAACCGATAAGCGGAATCGTTAAGCAGGCATGCTAACGGTTCCAAGGAATTGGTTCACTGGGCACCGGTTCTGAAGAAAGAACCGGCTCTCGGTTCCCATCCCTAGGGAGAACCGCAGATTCCGTTCAAAGCGTGGATTAAAACTTTCGATAATTTCTTGCTGGCCCTGGGAGAGGAGCTATTTAACGCTAGGAAGCATGCTCTTCTGATACATTGCCTCGGAGCCAAGGAGCAAAGACTGTTCTAAATCCTGAATGTAAGTCAACAGGGAGATGATGCGTCTGCTTCTGCTTTGAGAGCAATTCAGGACTTTTTTGTCCCTAAAGTTAATGTGGTTGCTAAACGTAACCGCTTCTGTCAACGGAGCCAACGTGCAGGGCATAACCACAGACCAATTCATCGCTGCTCTACGTGAACTGGCTGCCATCTGCGAATTCGGCACTATGGAGGACGAGATGATCTCGCATCAGAGAATGGCTGCTGCTCGAAGTACCACTCGATCTTAAGAAAGCCGTGACTGTCGCCCGGCAAATTGAATCTGCTACAGAGGAGGCCAAAGCGATGATAGCATCATCGCACAACTCAGTGCAAGCAGTTCAACAACACAACAGGCCACGATGGAACAGAAGTAAAGCCAATGCAATGCGCGGACCTCCCAAATCCACCCGTTCACTTACCTGTTACCGCTGTGGCTCTGAGCAGCATGCAGGTAATTTTCCCGGATGCCCTGCTAAGGATGGGGTTTGCAGGAACTGTCACAAGAAAGGAATGTCGTGGAAGCAAACGGGTGAGTGAAATTACAGTGCCTGAAGTGACTGTGTTAAATAGTGAACATTCTGCTCATGACTGTGGCAAAATAATGTGTATAGTACAGATACGTGTAAGCACCGGACAAAACCCCTTACGGAACAAAAATATATTGCAATATACTAGAATTTATATTGCAATACATTAGAAAATATATTTCAATATATCAGAAACGTCCTCATATATTTGAAAATATATAACAATATATGGATGGACAACCTATTGCTATATATTGATTAATATATTAAAATGCATGCAATAATGTAATACAGTTTTGTTTGTATATCAATGTATGTTTATTGAAACAAAGTTTTTTTTTTTTATGAGTTAAGGAAGCTCATGCATATGTTTACAGAGAGGTTGATTAACAATAGTCCAGATCAAATTTTTGCATGACATTCACTATATTTTACATTATATAGCCATATGGATGGACCATATATGGCTATGTATTGATTCATATATTGTAAAATGTAGATGAAAGTATTATAAATTAAACAGCAGCAATTACAACAATTTTTTTTAATCCACTTTTTATTCCCCCACATGACATTTCATCCTCAACATTTTATTCCTCCACATGACATTTCATCATCAACATGACATTTCAGTCCTCCACACTGCAACGTGGAGGTATACATGCATAAAGGTTGGCATAATGTGGCAGATCAACTAACATACATTTCCTGTTGAATTGCATCACATCAAAAACCTTTTTCCTTCCCTGTAACACTCTTTTCAAGCCAACTACATTTTCTAAATTTAGCACTGAACTGTGTGATTTGTCATACTGTCTTCCAACAGCAAAACATTTTCTGTCATCAAGTCTCTCTACCATAATGTAATAATACACAGTGATTATGTGTCCATTATCCAACAAAACAGTGAAGCTGTTCCTTTTCATTACTCTAGTGAACTGCTCTGAGTAATACAGTTCTCCTTTGACGAAAGTTCTACTGAATATTTTCACAATTGTATCCGTGGTGACTGAAATTTTCTCTCTCATAGCCAGTATCTCTTCGTTAGTAAGTTTTCGTACATAGTGTAAACCAAGGGTCACAACTTGAGCTGCTACTCTTTCAAACTGTTTCAGCTTTTTTTCACCAGTCAAGTTGTTATACAGCTGTATACATCTTGGCACAGCATTTCTCAGTGCATTGTTTTTCAAAAGAGGCAACACTTGTCTATATGTGAATTGTTTCATTATTTGTAAGGGAACACACTGGATGCCATGAAACATCTTCAGTATCTCCCCATTAAAAGACTCAAAAATATATCCTGAATGTGCCCACAAAGGTCCCCAATTTCTCACAGAGTCCGGCAAATGAAGACATAAATGTACGTTAAATGACACATTTTCCTTTCCATACAGTGTTTCAAACTGTTTGACAAACTCAACAACTAGTTTTTCACATCTTTTTAACCCCTCTGATGTGACAGTGTCCTTACATAGCAAGAACATGAAGGTGACAAGGATTAACCAGTGCTGGTAAAATGCATGGGGTAGTATTCCCTTTAGCACAAAGATGCTATAAAAAAGTAACCAGTTCTGCCATTCACTGGCTTTCCAAAACTTCCTTTGCTGAAAAGAGCGGGGCACTCTTGTGATATTGCAAGGTGGTTTAATTCTCAAGAGTTGTTTGTCGAGCTCAGGAACACGATTACCAATATAGCATGGCTCCTCATGGTGTTCACTATCCAGCCACATGCTTGTCATTTGCCGAACAACTCCAAGATGTACATTATGCATATGGTCAGGAGGCATTCCAGATATGAGGTCAAAGTGTGGGATGTTGACAAGACATGTGGGCTCTTTAATGCCCCTCACAGATTGTGTGGTACGCACAGCCTCCCTTGCATCATTTAGGGTTGAAGCATGATCCCTTTTTGGAACTTCTTTGTATGGATAAACCCTAACAGTTCCATTTCCCTTTGGAACTTGTTCACCAGGATGTAGGCAGAGGCTGCACCCATAATTACCATTAAATTGGGTCATGTTTTGCAGAATGGGCCTGGCAACTGAATCACACATAATAACAGCTGCTATCACTCTACAATGATTCACAATGTTGTTGCTGTGTAACTTGAAGCCAACAGTTGACAATGACTGACACTCTTTTGTGAATGGTTTTAAAAATGTATTAACATTTGGCTTTTTAGTACCAAACCATAGGCCAAAAAGTAAAACATTCTCTTTACGGACATGATAAGGAAGCTCGTTTACCATCCCTTGTAATGGCCAAATTCCATACTGGGATGATTTGAATACTGGAACTCCATCACAATTTAATGTTAAGGAGAATGCATGAGGACTATCTAGTGGGCCGCCATCTTTGTTCAGATTATGATACATTTTACCACAACATATGTCATCATAATCGTCTGAATTACATGTGCCATTTCCTGACTTAAGACAAGATGCAATATCTTCTCTTTGAAGAAGATGTTCCAGTTGTGTTTGGATGGGTAAGTATAGGAAGAAATTTCCATTCTTCAGTGAGCTGTTTCTATCCCATGTAGAGTTACATACAGAACACTGCCCTTCAGTGACTTGGTCGCCGATGTAATATTCACAGTTGGGACAGTATATGTGACATTCTAGGTGACCTTGTATTGGTTTAAGCTCTTTTAAGAACAGATGCTTTGAAGTTAGAACATTTTCTGGACAGTGGATATTAATCAAATCTAAAAGATCAGACAGGGCCACACCAGTAAGTGAGTGTCTCAAAGCATATGAAAGGATAAGTAAAAAACTCTGAGCTTTGGTTAGTTGTGAGCCTGTGTAAAGTGGCTCATCATTTACTGGAGGAAACCTTTCATTAATGCCTACTCCCAAATGTGATTCTTCATTTACTGACTTCTCAGTGCTGTCTTCCATGGGAAATTCTTCTCCACTGCCAATGGATTCAGAGTCAGTAAAAGACTGCCATAGTGGTTCAAACACACCAAAATCAACACTGTCCTCAAAACTGAAGATTGATGACTCTGTTGTTTGGCTCAAATTTGGTGGTAGTTCATTGGATTCAGGGTCTGCATGCAGGCTCTGTAATGGGAAAATACAGTAAGTCCAAGGCATAGTTGACAAGCATAAACACTAGGAATTTTGCACAAAATTAAAACTTGACAAAAATATTAGAGACGTGGCATTGTTGTATAGAGGGTAAAAATAAGGCTTAGGTTAATTTTAAAAAGGGCTAGGAAAGCAAAATAGTTAAAGTTTGAAGACACAAAAATCACATGTGAGATCATTGCTTACTGTAATTTGCTTAAAATTACTTACTGTAATGTCATCAACATCATGTGCATTTTCAGATCTGTTGTCAGAGGAATCCTGATCCAGGTTCTGTTGTGTAAGAATAGAGAAGTCTTAGAGGAAGGGCTTTAAGTGAAATAGTCAAACACAGAGAACAGTAGATTAGTAGTATTAGTAGTAGTAGTAGATATTAGTAGATTACTTACAGTAATCCCACCACCGTCATGTGCGTCTTCTGAGCCACTGTCAGAGTCGTGGTCAGAGGAATCCTGGTTCAGGTTCTGTTGTGTAAGAATAGAGAAGTCTTAGAGAATGGGCTTTCAGTGAAATAGTCAAACACAGAGAACAGTAGATAAGTAGTAGTAGTAGTAGATATTAGTAGATTACTTACAGTAATCCCACCACCGTCATGTGCGTCTTCTGAGCCACTGTCAGAGTCGTGGTCAGAGGAATCCTGGTCCAGGTTCTGTTGTGTAAGAATAGACAACATGACATCATGACTTTGCGTAAACATACACGCCACTTTCAAGTCAAGTGGCGTGTTATCTATACGCATTTTGAACTATCCGCGTGTATGTCCACGCCGAAATCTTTTGCGTGTATGTCTACGCCGTTAAATGTCCAAGTGATTCCGCGTGTATGTGTACGCCGTTAAATGTCCGAGCGAAACGAAGCAAAATCTATATCTACATCTGTGGAGCGATATTTCTTTTCCTAGGATGGTGGGAGAAGACTCATAAATGGTATTAACCCCAGTGACGGGTAGGTTTAGGGACGGGGTTGGGGTAGGTCATATATTTATATATATATATATAATACAGTAATATAACGTTAAGTCAAAGGCGTTCATAAACACGCTGAAAAGCGATTATGCGTGTTGATAGCACGCCAAAAATGGAAATACGAATTGCCGTGTCATACATACGCCATTTCATGAGATCAGTCTGGAATAGAGAAGTCTTAGAGAAAGGGCTTTCGGTGAAATAGTCAAACACAGAGAACAGTAGATTAGTATTAGTAGTAGTAGATATTAGTAGATTACTTACAGTAATCCCACCACCGTCATGTGCGTCTTCTGAGCCACTGTCAGAGTCGTGGTCAGAGGAATCCTGGTCCAGGTTCTGCTGTGTAAGAATAGAGAAGTCTTAGAGAAAGGGCTTTCGGTGAAATAGTCAAACACAGAGAACAGTAGATTAGTATTAGTAGTAGTAGATATTAGTAGATTACTTACAGTAATCCCACCACCGTCATGTGCGTCTTCTGAGCCACTGTCAGAGTTGTGGTCAGAGGAATCCTGGTCCAGGTTCTGCTGTGTAAGAATAGAGAAGTCTTAGAGAAAGGGCTTTCGGTGAAATAGTCAAACATAGAGAACAGTAGATTAGTATTAGTAGTAGTAGATATTAGTAGATTACTTACAGTAATCCCACCACCGTCATGTGCGTCTTCTGAGCCACTGTCAGAGTCGTGGTCAGAGGAATCCTGGTCCAGGTTCTGTTGTGTAAGAATAGAGAAGTCTTAGAGAAAGGGCTTTCGGTGAAATAGTCAAACACAGAGAACAGTAGATTAGTATTAGTAGTAGTAGATATTAGTAGATTACTTACAGTAATCCCACCACCGTCATGTGCGTCTTCTGAGCCACTGTCAGAGTTGTGGTCAGAGGAATCCTGGTTCAGGTTCTGTTGTGTAAGAATAGAGAAGTCTTAGAGAATGGGCTTTCAGTGAAATAGTCAAACACAGAGAACAGTAGATAAGTAGTAGTAGTAGTAGTAGTAGTAGATATTAGTAGATTACTTACAGTAATCCCACCACCGTCATGTGCGTCTTCTGAGCCACTGTCAGAGTCGTGGTCAGAGGAATCCTGGTCCAGGTTCTGTTGTGTAAGAATAGAGAAGTCTTAGAGAAAGGGCTTTCGGTGAAATAGTCAAACACAGAGAACAGTAGATTAGTATTAGTAGTAGTAGATATTAGTAGATTACTTACAGTAATCCCACCACCGTCATGTGCGTCTTCTGAGCCACTGTCAGAGTCGTGGTCAGAGGAATCCTGGTCCAGGTTCTGTTGTGTAAGAATAGAGAAGTCTTAGAGAAAGGGCTTTCGGTGAAATAGTCAAACACAGAGAACAGTAGATTAGTATTAGTAGTAGTAGATATTAGTAGATTACTTACAGTAATCCCACCACCGTCATGTGCGTCTTCTGAGCCACTGTCAGAGTCGTGGTCAGAGGAATCCTGGTCCAGGTTCTGTTGTGTAAGAATAGAGAAGTCTTAGAGAAAGGGCTTTCGGTGAAATAGTCAAACACAGGGAACAGTAGATTAGTATTAGTAGTAGTAGATATTAGTAGATTACTTACAGTAATCCCACCACCGTCATGTGCGTCTTCTGAGCCACTGTCAGAGTCGTGGTCAGAGGAATCCTGGTCCAGGTTCTGTTGTGTAAGAATAGAGAAGTCTTAGAGAAAGGGCTTTCGGTGAAATAGTCAAACACAGAGAACAGTAGATTAGTATTAGTAGTAGTAGATATTAGTAGATTACTTACAGTAATCCCACCACCGTCATGTGCGTCTTCTGAGCCACTGTCAGAGTTGTGGTCAGAGGAATCCTGGTCCAGGTTCTGCTGTGTAAGAATAGCAATTGCAATTGGGTTAATGTTATCTGATTTGTCCTTATCCAATTCAGACAACAAAACTTTGCTTTTACTGATATTTACTGAGAAGCACAAAAAACAACATCATTTTGGAATATTTTTGAAAATGGAAATATAGTGTTTTGGAAAAGACCTCTTCATATATATATATATATATATATATATATATATATTCTGCTGGTGTATGTTTGATATGCATTATAATTAGGCTATATTTCATATATCAATATTTAATAAATCCCAGCAAAAAATGTACTCCAAGGAACTCTTAAAAAAGGGAGGGCGAAAGTGTCCAATGCTGACCCCATGAAAAGTGGAGGGCAAGATAAGATTTTTCCACCAAATGCCTCAAATGGAGGTCCTTCCAATTATCCCACTCAACATTTGGTCTGACCCAGGACTACTTATTTGCTTAATTTTCTTAACAGATAGTAATCAAGAAGGATTACATTTCAATTAACTGGTTATAAAATGTGGTCATTTAGTGCAGCATTCTGTCTAATGTCTACAAAATACACACAAAAGGTCATGTTCATGACTCACCGTTTCCTGGTTTGACTGATGCATGTTGATGGACTCAGTCAGTTTCCTGCGATAAGAATGAAAAAAATGTCTTTATTTGAAATAATATCTATTGTCAGAGACTGTCCAGTAGGGTGTGGTAACGTTTTACTTAAAAACTATTATTTTATTATTTTATTTCGCGGCATACTCAAACTCAGCTTGTACTGAATCGTTTCAGAGACTTTGACATGTTTCCCAAATGACATCAGAATAATATCTGAAATTTTACTTACCAAAGCGAGATTATCAAATAGTCACTTAAGGAAGATTATTCACGGCGCTTCCTCTGACTTCCACTTTACTTCTCTCTCTCCGACGACAACACTCCAAATAACGCTACTAACTTCAAATAACTCGAACTTCCAAGTGCACTCAATCACAGTTTTTGTTAAGAGAAGAAATGCTTTGGAGAAATGCTCCGTGCTGCTGCCTGCTGTTTCATCAGATCTGCTCTCATCTGACTCTCTCCTAGCTGCTCACACTGACAGCGGCGCCGGCGCGATCTGAATGCGCCACTGCTATTGGCTCTTAAGGATGTCATACAGCACAATCAGGTTCGGATCATTTTACTGACTCTGATCTTTGAATCTCGTTCAGCAAAATGAACGAATCTTTTTTCAAGTCATTTTGTTCATTATAGCTGAATATAAATACAATTTTACATGATACATTACCCAACACATCTAGTACCTACCTATGTAAATGTTGATTATATATAAAACATTTTTTTTAAAAAAAAACTATTATGAGAAACAGAAATAATTTATTGCTTGACTGGGTCTTCAGGCTATGCAGATTAGGCCTAGTTCACCTCTAGTGTCATCGGGTGATATCAACGATGATATCGTCCATCGGCACAACCCTATTTGCGAGCCAGTGTGCTACATGCTAGCTACGTTTAGCTAAGCCGCAAGCTTGTAAAAACCCACACAAACCACGAAACTACAACAGTAAATACAGAACAACTGTTTAATAACGTAACTTAACTAGGCTGGAGTAAAACACAAACCTCCTTTTCCAGTATCTCCTTGTTCTTGATGGAATCTCATATTCTGAACCAGGGGCAGTGTATTTTCTTCTCCTTCCGTCCATGCCTCTTCTTCTGGAAAGGAACCCTCGATCAATGTCGGTACTACTTTGCTGATTGCACGTTGCATCCGTTATGCGCATGCGCAGATGATAATCCTGTTTTTTACGACACTGCACGATCCCACACTTGCGCACCTTTGCACCGCGTGAACATATTGCGCATGCGCATAACCTATCGTGCCGGCAGCACGCGGGACACAAGCCACCGCTACTCTGAGTCTGTGCTTACGTGCCTCAGCGGTGAGAGAAGAAAAAACAAAAAAAGATGAAGTTTGCGCTAGTGAGCTGGTCAAAGGGGAAGGATAAAGATGCTCTCAGTATAGTCCCCGTAAATTGGATCGTAGACTTCGATCCTGAAAACTCTAAAAAGGAGTATCTTATCGAGTGCCGCAGCATCGGTGGCAAGAGGCCTACGAATGGGTGGCCGGTTGAAACAGCACACATTTTGCAGTTGGCAGGCAAGTAACTTACCGTGCTTTTTTATATATATTTTTTTACTTGGTTAGTCATGCAACATTATTGATAGCAATTATCCTGTTAAGGTTTTTGCATTATTGGCCAAGTAACGTTCGCTGTAGGCTATTAGCTTCGGGACAGTGACGAGCTAGTTAACGGCCGTCACGTGAGTCCCGCTTCATTTGAACTTTAAGCTAGCTAAGGCCCATTAGTCACATGAGTATGAATTTTTATTTAGGAGTGAAACATTAATTAAACACTTACTTTAAAAGTCCTAAATTGAAGATTGTCAGCAAAGATTTGGGTTAATAAGAATACTTAACTGTCAACATAGTCAGCCAATAACATTGTACAGTGAAAATCAGTTTAGCGGCTGTAAGTTAAGTTACATGGCAGCAAAATTTTACGTGTTAAAATGAACAGAGTAAACTTATAAAGCAGGTACAAAAAACTGTAAAAACAGCACAAAAATTGACAGTAAAATACTTTATTTGATGTAACGTAAGCCACATTTTGTTTCAGGCATTAAATTCTGTCTTGCTACTATTTCTTACTAACAGAAAAGGAGTCTACACTTAAGACTGCTGAACGGAAACTCTTGCAAGAGGACCTACCAAAAAGCAAGAAGAGAACGAGGGTACCCAACAAACTTTACCTTGACACACAGGAGGAAACTGTAGAACAAGTTGCAAAAAAGGTAATAGGGTTCTTTTCATGACGGCTATTTTGATCATATATTTTTACATTTCTGTCTGTATATATTTGTACATTTCTGATAGTGGTTAGCACTGTCGCCTCACAGCAAGAGCGTTCTGGGTTCAAACCCGCTGGCTGGCTGGGGCCTTTCTGTGTGGAGTTTGCTATTCTCTCTGGGTACTCTGGCTTCATCCCACAGGCCAAAGGTTGCATGCATGTTAGGTTAATTGGTGACTCTAAATTGCCCATAGGTGTTTGTGTGTCTGTATGTGGTAGCGCTGCTGGGTTGTACAAGAACGTTCCTGGCAACTTAAAAGAAAAAAGGAACTATAGTACTACAGCTATGAATTTAAACAGAGTCTAGCCATGGAACCTATTAAACTTAATGATTCATTTTAATAAGTTTTTGGTTTCATTTTCCTAACTTTTGTGTGCATTGTTTCATACATAATTGATTTGATCATTTTTACCCAACAGAAAAACTACAGACTCATAGCTGCAAGACAGTCTGAATTAGACGTTCTTCCCCAAGAAGAACCTAACCACAGCCCAGTGGGGACTGCTTTAGAGGCACTTGAGGAGGAGATCAGGGCCCTCAGGGAGGAGAATGAAAGACTGCATGACCAGCAGAGTGTAGGATCTTCTGCAGCCAGTAAAGATCTTGAGACCCAAGTCAAGGCTTTACATAAGGAGAACACCAGGCTGCGCAAAATGGCAGTTAAAGGCAACTATCTCTTTTAGATTAAAATAGTGATTCTTTTAGATTGAATAAATCAGTGTCTCCTTATTTTTGGTGTTATTGTTAGAGATGTATCTGTGTCTATATTTTTAGGGGATATCTACTGATGTAGTATAGGGTTTCCTGTAGGAAAAATTTAGCCTAGGGCTAAACACTGTAGCGTCACTGAGACAAAATTGGTCTGGCAGAAACCCTGTAATGCTTTCAGAACCCCTCACCAACACATTTTGCTTCACTTTGAGACACCAAAAAATGAGTGGAGGTGTATTTTGTTTTTTTACATGTTATGTATTTACAACTTGTTTGGAGTCCTGTTGTGGTAAATTCGGTGGGCCATATTTTCCAGAAATTCCATCACTCTTAGCAGCTGTGAGGACCCTCATTTCAGACAAGATCACAGAGAGCTCAAGCAATGGAGGTGAAAGCGAATATGAGGCCAGTGTTGCTCTATCATCACCTCCTCAACCCACATCTCCCAAACCAACATCAGTAAGTACATTTTTGTAATGGTCAATTAAAAACATAAATTATTCTGTCACTGGTGTTTTTCTTTGTTTTTATTCTGGTTTGTCTTTCCTTCTTACAATTAATTAGGTGCCACTAGGGAATGATGACTCCACCAGAGTGTCTGCCCATTGTTGGGAGACTGCAAAAGCACAACCTACAGCGAAAGGAATGGCCCGCACCCTCCTGCTGGGCCTGTTCAGCATTGATGTCCTACTGAAGTCCAACCTGACGGGAGGGGTCAACAAGGTCGATCCATCTGCAGAGAGACGCCAACCTCTGGACCCCAAGAAGCTTACAGCTTTACTCAGTAAGACAATAAGAATTTATTTTTAATGGATTAATATATTTTGCAAAGTTATTGTAAATTGTAAAGGTAGGGATGTAACGATTCACTCAACTCACGATGCGATACGATTCACGATTTTTTTAACAAGTGATTATTGTAAGAAATTATAAATGAAAAAGTGTCCCTTTTATTATTTCTCAGACAAAATGCTGCACATTTCTTTTTAATTTTAAAATATATTTGTCAAATAAAAAAACTACATTGAAATAAAAAAAAAAATCCCTTCAAGGTTGTTTCAACTCAGTCTTTCTGTCTGTCTGGTCAAGAGGGTGGGCACTGGTACCTTCGCACACTAAGTAAAAGACTATGTAACATTAGTACCACATTTAGAGGGGTTTTAATTTTGTTATAATTTGTATCATTACACTAGCAACTAGCAAGAGTAAAAAAAAAACCCACACATTTAGAAAAATATGCCATAACATCAATAAATTATATATATAAAAAAAATATATCCATGTACACATTTAGAGAAAGAGATAGTAAAATAAATACAACACCTGGTTGCCATGGAAACACTGATGTACCATGTGATCTCCGTGGCTCTCGCACTTGTCGTATTAATGCCTTTTACATGAAAACGGAGGTGACTTGTGTTTCTCATGGTGGTGATTATTATTAGTCTACGGGAAAATCAAAATGCCGCCACACCTCCGATTTGAATGAGTCAACATCTGC